CTTTGGAAGAAAAGGGCTTAGGATAAAATAACCTCTATATGTAGCATTGAAACTTAAAAAAATAAAAATGAAATCATCAAATAAAATGTTCATATTGAATTTAATTAAAGTTTGGCTTTTGCTAGTTTTTCTATATTTTTGAAATAACTTCTATTAAAGGAACTATACTCCAAAAAAATCACAAATGATTTTATAAGGTATATTCTAGACAAAAATAACAAAGCATTTTTGCAGAAAATCATCTTTCCTTCCATTTTTAAAAAGTAACTGCCATTTCTAGCAGTGCCTGTGACTCTAGGGTTGGGCATAAGCTTAAGGAGGCATTGCAGGAATTTATGTTACTAAGGGTTCATTCACAAACTCTGCTTGTCTGTTGAAAAGGGGCTTTGGCCATTTCCTCTGGGGATATTATTTCTAGGTAGACTCTAACAGAGTTTTCTTGTGAAAGCAGATTCTTACAGAAAAATAGGATCTGTGTACATTAGACAGTAGAGAGACATTTATTTTTAAAATAGTATGCTCTTGTTTGTAGATTTCTCTACTGCATTTGATAAAGTAAGTAATACCCATTCCCTTTTGATCCTTTAACTCCTTGGGGCATAGTTTCACTCACAAACCATTTCACTTTCACATCTGGACTAAACACCTAACTTAATAAATAGGCAAGGAGACGGTAAGAGTCTTAGACTGCAACTCTGAGGAATGATAAATACTTCTTTGTTGGTGACTTATTCTTATGGACTGAAGCATTTCTGATTTGAATTATTTTTCTCATTAGTGTAGAGGGAGTCTTGTTTTCTGAGAAATACTAGTTGCTGGTAAATAATGTGTCCAAACCGTAGGAGGCTGCCACAAGATTTATCATACAGAATCATGAAAGGTTAGGGCTGAGAGATTGAGATCTGAATATCATGCACCATTCTCATTTTACCAATGAGAGGTAAAGCGACTCCATCAGACTATTAATGAGAGCTGAGACTGAAAGACAAGATTCATCTACCACATCATGGCTGTCTCCGGCACACTGAAGACAACTCTCATGTGGGAGTCAGACACTGAAAGCCCTACTAAGCCGAGCTCCTCTACTGTCTCCTCAGCTTTAACCTCAAACATAATCCACATCTATTCCATCCCTTTATGTGTCTCATCACACAGACCAGCACTCATCCTCCTAATTGGACTCTACATTACTAGAGTGTAAACGATATCCCTCGTCCACTCCTTGAAGGCCATGCCTGCCTTCTAGTTTGTATGGAGTCCAGCATAAGTGGGCCCTTCATAAGTGCTTTTTGATGAGAGCAATGATTGCCTTCGTCAGTGTGGTTGGGTCCTCCCTTTCTGAGGAAGGAAAACCAATGGTGGTTGCTAAGCAACTTTAAAGGACTGAGTCAGTTTCTGACACCAGGTGACCTCTATTTGCGTACTTCATCGTGTTGTGTGTTTTATGGTTGTCTTAAGATGACTTAGTTGTTTTTTTTTTTTTTTTTTTTTT